GGGTTTTGCTTTTGAATGATGCCACTTACTTCTGGTCATGCCATTGAGTCAATTTCAACGTAGAGTGACCCCATGTGACAGAACAGAACTGCCCCACCCACTTTTCTAGGGAGCAGATCACCAGATCGTTCTTCTGCTGAATCACTGAGCGGGTTCCAACTGCCAACCTTTTGGGTAGTAGCAGAATGCTTAACCATTGCATCACCAGGGTTCCTTGAGCTGCCATTTACTGTGATATCTTGTCCAAACTAGGTAACCTCTCTATGCTTCAGTTCTCTCATCTAATACAATGATAATAACAACACAACCTCACTGGACTCCAAGAAAGATTAAATAAAGTAATAGATTTGTTGTTGTTGTTGTTGTTAAGTGCCTTCGAGTCGGTTCCGACCCATAGCGACCCTGTACAGGGTTTCCGAGGGTGTAAATCCTTACGGGAGTAGAAAGCCTCATCTTTCTCCCGCGGAGCGGCTAGTAGTTTCGAACCACTGACCTTAAGGTTCGCAGCCCGATTCGTAACCACTACGCTAGTATTCATAAATTTTGGTAGTGTCTGGCACATGGTAAGAGCCATGAAAGTGTTAGTCAAATCTTAAATAGTATCTGTATTTTTTCTTTTCTTTTTGTTTTTGTCTTTGTTTTCAGTAATGTTATTGACATCCTTCTAAATTGTTTGTTCCCATCTTTTCTGATCTAGGAGGTCCAACCCCACAGCTCTTCTGGCCCCACAAACAAAAAAAAAAAAAAAAAAACTCACTTCACTCTAAATGTAGAATGTGGCAAATAATGTTCTGGTTAATTGATGCTGTACAAGGCCTTGATTTTGTAAAGAACATCTTTGCAAAACTTCCAAAGCCCTTTCTGTTTACTCACAGACTTTAATGTAGGAGGTGTAACTATAAAGTGGATGTCTGGATTTTTAGCAAACACATCAGAATTTTGAAATTCAGAGTGGTCAATGTGGCTTCTCTTGGGAATTGGTTAGGGTGCTGGGCGAGGGCACTAGACTAATTGCTTAAAGTCCGTCTCACTATCTGCCTCTGTCTTCTATCTGTCCATCTTCCTTCCTCTTCTCTTCCCTCCTCTCTCTTCCTCTAGAACCTATTTAGAATTGCAAGGGACCTTGATTATCATCTAATCCAAGCAGGTGAGGTAACCAAGGATGAACTAGATTTCCTTCGAGCCCCCCACTAACTGACCAGAAAGCAGTCTTCCCACCACTTACACCTGCCACAGAGAATTCCATCTACCTTCTTTACCAGTCAGGGTGCCACATAACTGACTTTTCCTAAATAATTAAATTCATCTTGAAAATTGAACATCTACCTCCCACTGAAACTTTAAAGGAATGGGCAACAGGCTATGAATACATTTGTATGTGACCGGTTTTACTCCCACCCCCACCCCCCAGCATTCTAGCAGATCTGGGAGGGGCCTGATTTCAACTCTAGTAACCTGGTAACCGAAGATGCTGACGAAGAATATCACAAGGCCATCACACTGGGGAGATCAAAGCAGGGCTCCTGGGGAGCCATGAGTGGAAGTCTGGCAGGTGGAGGCGGCCTCCCTGTCAGGCCTGGAGATGGCTGGCAGCAGGTCTAGGACCACATAGGACCTGAGGATGCAAAGTTAGAACTTATTTCCTGGAAGGACTAGCAGAAAAGAGGTTGGACCCAGTCCTAGAAAATCTGTGTTGACAAGAGGTTACAAAGACAGGAGCCAGGGTGCAAAAAACTGGCTCATAAACACTGTGTTTGGTTAGGGCAGGACCAGCAGCAATGCACTAGTTAATGTCAACGAAGTGCTCTGCTGGGCTGGTGGTCCAGTGGTCCTAGTTGTGCTGTGAGGCCATAAGTTAATACCTGGGTTTTTGCTGAGAAAAAATGTCCCTATGCTAGAAGCTTCCCCAGCAAGGGGAGGAGCAGTTTCTGTGTAGTTTTAGATTTGATATGGTTCTGCAGACTAGAAAACATGGATAAGCCAGCCTTGCAGGTAGACACATTCCCCAGATGAGGAATCCCCAGGGAGCTAGTGGCAAAGCAGCTAATTTTATACACTTTGCTGACTTTGGAGTAAAGGCACAGTGGACTTATACTGCATGTGTCTGCAGTCTACCCAAAATAACTCTGAAACAATTTAAAATGTATCTCTGGTGTTCCCTGAAGGGTCCTGGTGGTGCAGCGGGTTGAGCATTGTGCGGTCAATTGAAAGGTCGGCAGTTCGAACCCACCAGACATTCTGGTGGAGAAGGATGTGGCTGTCTGCTCCTGTAGGGATTTACAGTTTCAGAAACTGAGAGAGAGTTAAAATGCCCAGCCTCCATTCCTCCTTCCTAATAGTATGTCAAAATGCCCTTTTGGGGTACTTTCTCTCCCTCACGGTGTAGTCCTTCAAGGTATTAGGGATACCATATGTGAAATGATCACCCTTTACCACCCACTTATGGCAGAGTAAGCACAAGGCCCCAGCTTAGCTAGTTGGACAATGGTTGGCAGTTGTGTATCACAGAGGTATGCTGACCCTGAAGACCCTGCCTTCTAGATCTTTCCATGTCCTCTCGTTGCTGCTTTCACCTCTCCAGGTTCTACCGCATCCCATAGATTCCCCTGTATCTTTCCAGTAAAGTTGTTACTTTTTCAAAACTTAATTTATGTTAACCAGATTATTTGATGTTTGCAAAGAACAAGGATTTCCAAATGGCCACTGTGGCCACTCCTACCCACAAGACTGGGGAAAGACTGGCTGCTTCCTGTTCTCACCTCCGTGCAGAATCTGAAGGAGTCCCAGCTGTATTCCAACACTGTCCACCACAGTGATCACCACTGTGAGCCAATGTCCCCAGCATGTATGCAACCATTTGGGAAAAATGGTGTTCCATCACCCAATGGTAACATGGTAGGAACATGCCGGCAGCGGGAACTTTGCCTTCCAGCCTCCCTTTCTTCACCCTCATTGTCTATACACTCTCACACATGCCCATGAATACTGAAAAGTCTGCACATGAACACACACATATGCACACTGACTCACATGGATACATCCACATACACTCGGCCAGCAGGCATCTTCCTGGTCCTCTGTAGAGAGACTATGGTTGCCCAGTGTTTAGATGGAGTATAAGTGACAAGAGAAGGAAGAGGGAACAAAAGGGTATAGAGAGATAAAAACCAACAATGACAAAATCTTTATTCTTAGGGAACCTGACCCCAGAACTCCCACTACCATCTTTTTCATTGGGCCCAAGAGATCAGGGCACCACTGTCTCCATCACACACCTCAAATAAGTCTAGGAGTCCCAGGTGAGAGACCCCCTTCACACTGCATAAGTCCTTTAAAAGCTACATCTAACAGGTCCAGGGTCACCCAGACAGCCTTAAAACAATACTAAAGTAGAGGTGTGTCACCAAGTTGCCATCCCCATGTCTGCTTTCATTCTCCTCCAGTCTGGGACCAAAGAGCAGGTGTACTGGTTGGGAAAGGGAAGTGGTAACAAGGCCTAGCACAGCCAGGAACCTCACACTCCCCAGGTGGAAACAATCTCCTAACGGAGCTCCATCTACCCACACCCACCAACACAAGGATGGATACATTCAAACACGTGCACACACACACACACACACAAATGCCAGTTAAGCCGCCATGAGATGGTGCTAAGTTAAGAACAAATTAGAGGAAGTAGGCACAACCTTAGTGAGGCAGAAGGCAAATTGCTTCCTAGTATGTTTATTGGAGCCTTGGTTAAGCAAGAAGACTGATCAGTGACCTCCCCCTTCCACAGCCCAGCCGGTCCAACTGGAGTAGGGACCCAAGGGAGTCAATTTCCACTTTTTTTTTTTTTCCAGTATAGACAACATTATTAAAAAAAATAAACTTTACAATAATACATTTTCGCTCATCTGTGTGGGGTATTATTTCAATAGTTTTGCTTCCTAAAAAAAGGAAAGAAAGGGAAACCACACAATATATGTATATGAATGTGTATATACATATATGTTGAGAAAGGAGCCTTGCTATGTACATACACTTGATGTATGTCTCGGAAATGAGGAAAGAGAATGTGGAAAACCAGGAACGGGGAGAAGAGACAGAGAATGTGCTTGAGAGACCAAAGTGCTTCAGGTTCATGTCCGGCTGTGGTCTCCTCTGCCACTCTGAGTGGCCCTTCTCCCTGAAGGAGACCTAACAAATGGACCCACTGCAATAATTATATATATATATATTTAAAAAAAAGCCAACAAAGTACCATTTCTCTTTGATTTCAAAATTCATGCCACCACAAAGGGAAGAGGCACTTGAGCAAGTGCCCAAGTTTTGCTAACTCCCTGCGTGGGGCTATCCCAGGTAAACAGAACTGCCAAGGTGCGGTGGGGCTGCCCCTCCATGTGATGGTTAGGAGAAACCCATAGCCACATTCTTCCTCAGGCACCCATGGGGATACACAGAACAGACACAGACCCACTGGGACTGAAGAGGGCAGAGAGGAGGATGAGACTAACTCCATCTTTGAAGCCAAGAGGAAGTGTTGACGAAGTCCACCTGGAAGCCCCCTGTGGCCAGCTTCTCAGATCTGCTGCCACTCCCCTCTGCCAGTCCTGGCAAGTCCCCAGAGTGGGCAACTTGAGGAAAGAAGCTACAACTGTCCTACCGCAGCCTGCATTGGGCGCAAGCCACAAGTCCCTTCAGCCTCAGGGGTCACATCTTGATCTCTTGCTTCAGAAGGGTCCAGAGAGAACCACTAGGAGAAAGTGATGGGCATTTCTGGACCCTGTTGCCCTCCTTGGTGCTGAGTTTCCCTTGCCTGGGGAGCTCAGCTGCCCGCTCTCAGGCTGCCCGCCTGCTTGTCTGTTTGGTTTAGAAAAATTTCTCCATAGAAGAAACCTGGGAGGAGACAAGTTCAAAGACAAGGTGGAGGAAAATATCGTTTGTTTGTTTTTTTTGCAAGGTGTGTGTGTGTGTGTGTGTGTGTGTGTGTGTGTGTGTGTGCACGCGCACGCATGTGAGTGTTTCCAGTTTGTCAGGCGGGTGTTTCTTGTTTGTGAAGCTTCCAGAAATCTTCCAATGTGGTTCCCAGGGCCTACAAGGCCAGTTTCAGCATCAATAAGGAGAGAGCAGTCAAGGCAGCCGTTGGTCTGGCTCTTCTGGGGCCTGAGTTGGGTTTTATCACCTTGTTACTCCCTGGGATGATGTTTGTAGTGAGCTGGGTCCGCAGGACAAAGGGAGACAGAAATAGAGAACAACAACAAAACAAAAAAAATAAATAAACAAGTCAGTAGGGCTGAGAATAGAAATAGAACCAAACTCAAAAATTGGATCCCTCAAGCTTCTGCCATCTCTTCTGACCCAGAGCCAGTGTTCCATGGAGCTGGGCCAGCATCGTATCTACAGGGAACACACCACGCCAACACATCTGACTCTAAGCCCCAAGGTTTTAGGAGACAGGGCAGTAAACATCAGGAAAATGGGTCCTCAGCTTAGCAGAGGGCTGACTCTACCAACTGAGGAAGGAGATCTGAGCCCCAGTGAGTGGCGACACTGGGTAACAATCTCAAGAAGGAAAAGCTCCCAGGGTCAATAAGAATCTGCTTCTTGAGAGGAGAGAAAATTGAGAACAGGTCCTCCCTGCTGCTGCTGTTTGTTGTTATTGTTAAGTACTGTTGAGTTGGTTCTGACTCATAGTGACCCTGCGTAGGGTTTCTGAGGAGCAGCTACTGGGTTTGAACCACTGACCTTGCAGTTAACAATCCAGTATTTATCCTACAGTGCCAAACCAGGACTCTCTGTTACTAGCTTTGTTCAAATCCCTCCTTCTCCAAGAAGCCTCCCTTATACCTCTCCCCTTCTTTTGTAGAATCTGAAGTTGCCTTTTCTTATCTAAATATTCATCTTGGGTCTATAAATCATACCTGTACTCTTATACTGAGGATCCTTAGAGAATAGACTGTCTTATCCATGTCTGCATCTCCTAAACATCACAGGAAGCAGCACATAGTAGATGCTCAATAAATTTTTTCTTAGATAGTAAGGAAGGCATGGGATGACCGTTGGTCAGAGCCATCTCATCTCTCTCTGTGGAAATGTCCAAGGATCCAGTTGCAGTCTACCTGTCACTGCATGTCCTCCCTTCAGAGTCAGTCCCACCCAGGCCTAGGTGGTCCAGAAGCTCAGCTAAATAGGAGCAGCCCTGAAAAGGAATCAGGGTTCAGAGACACACCTGGGGAAGAGTCCCCTCTAGCGTACTCATCTGTGGGAGAAAGATGAAGCTTTCTGCTCTCACAAAGATTTACAGCCTCGGAAACCCTACATGGGGTCACTATGAGTCAGAGCTGACTCAATGTAACCTAACGACAATAACAAAAGCCCAGTCTTCTTTCTGTACCCCACTCCCACTGCCCCACCACTCTACTCCTCACTCACCTCTGTGAAGCACATGCTTAACTCTTTGGAGTTATTGGCCTTCAAGCCCTGCTCCTGTGGGAGAGAAAACACTAGTAAAGACAGGTCTTTTGTCAGGTCTCTGGTTAGGCTTTGTCCACTGACTCAGATGAGACCAAACATTCTGTGGCCCCAACATTCACCTTTAACCTCTCCAAGCACAGGGTATAACCGTGAATAATGTTGGCTCAGTTCCCATGTGGCCCCCTGGTCCCCTGTCCTTTTCTGATACCCTCAGCAACTGGGTCTCCTCTGGGCTTCTGGAGTGCATAATTCAAGACCATTCTCCATCGTATAGCATTGTATGTCTATCTACTCAGAGCTTCTCCAAAGGTGGAGACCATGTCTCCTTTTCACTGCATTGGTAACATCCAACTCACACAGTGACTCAGTAACTGTTTTCTGAGATGCATGTATGAATGAATGAAATCACAGATTAGAAAAGTCACCGGAGAGCCATCTCCAGTTAAGTTATCATGGCTGCTGGATGTCTATGTAGAGAAAGGTCATGAGATCTCAGTGAGAAAGAGATCTGTGACTGATTAATGATGTCTGCCATGGGTACATATTAGGCAGACATCTGGCAACTATGCCAGGTGGTGGCCATTCTTACCCTAAACAGATGTGCAGCACCTGGGAGCTCTGTAGACAAGCTAAGGAAGAAAGGATGGCTAGTTTGGTTCATCCATTCCCCACTCCTGCAATCATCACTTGGATGGAGAGCCAAAGGGTGTGCATGAAGAACAGTCATTTGTTATCATTATAAAAACAGTAATTCATGGGAACTAGTTAGGGGATGCAGTGTTTCTATCCTGGTGTCAAATGGTTTGGTTCCCAGTGAAGCTTTGGCCACCAGGAACAAATGGGCAGCCCCAAAAGTTAAGCCTAAATCAATGTGTTTGACCAGAAGTATCAATAATCCCTTGAATATTATAGCAAATCTACAACTCAGGGCATCTGGTCAGCTAAACATGGCCCCAGCTGTCCTACAGAGACTCCAGTCAAGAGCATAGTCACCACTGATGGCAGAGCTATGACCCCAGTGATGTTAGTCCAGCGGAAGTGAAGCCTAGTTCAAGACAATAGCACTGGTTTCTCCAAGAGCCAAGGTAGGGCCTGACCCACCCACCAACCTGCTTCTCTCTACAGAAGGGCTGAGGCTCTAAGGTCTTTAGGCCCTAAGGACTGGGTCCTACTTCCCAGGACCCAGCACAGCTCTGGCCAGGGCTCTAGGGGGTCATACCCATGCCCATCTCAGAGGCTGTATTATTGTTATCATACTTAAGCTGACTGCCCGCACCTCTACACTTTACCAGATCTCACTCAGTCTCACCTCTCTGCCTGCCTCATATCCCCTGCGAGGTAAACGCTGTCCTGGGACCTGCAGGGGTCTGCATCACAGCACGGCCCAGTCCTATTTACCGCCAGCATCATCTCTTGCTGTAAATATTTCAGGTATGGCAGATTTCTCACCACCTTCTCTTGGGGTCTGTGGTTGTTGTTAAGTGCTATCTAGTCGATTCCCACTCATAGCTACCCTGTATTGGGTTTCTGAGCTGTAAATCTTTGCAGGAGCAGAAAGTTTCATCTTTCTCCCACAGAATGACTGGTAAGCTCAGACTGCCAATTTTGTGGTTCACAGTCCAGTACTCATCCTACAGAGCCCCTATACTTTCTACTGGAGTCTATGTAGATCTTATTTTTGCATCCCCATCTTATCACAGCATTCACTAAATATTGTTGTTGTTTTTAAGTGATATTGAGTTGGTTCAGACTCAGAGCAACTCTGTGTAGGGTTTCTGAGGAACAGCTAGTGAGTTAGAAAGACTGACCTTGCAGTTAGCAGTCCAGTACTTATCCAGTTTAGCACCATACTAGGACTCCTCATTAAATATGGAGCCTTATAGATAATCATGGAGTCCTGGTGTGGCACTGCGGGTTAATGTGCTGGACTGCAAGGTCGGTTTGAATTGCAAGGTTGGCGGTTCAAGCTCAACAGTTGCTCCTCGGAAACCTTATACAGGGCCGCTATGGGTCAGAACCACCTTGATGGCACTTAGCAACAACAACATATATAATCATAGTCCCTGGGTGGGACAAACATTTAATGTACTCTACTGAGTCCTGGTGTGGTGCTGTGGGCTAATGCGTCAGACTGCAAAGTCGTTTGAACTGCAAGGTCGGTGGTTCAAGCTCACCAGCTGCTCCTCAGAAACCCTACACAGTGTCGCTATGGGTCAGAGCCAACTCGATGGCACTTAACAACAACAACAACTACTAACTGAAAGGTTGGACATTCAAGCACACCCAAAGGCACCTCAGAAGGAAGGTGTGGTCATCTACTTCCATAAAAATCAGCCAGTAAAACGTCTACGGAGCAAATGTTTTTTAACACAGGTCTCTGTGAGTTCAATTCAACTTGACTTGCCAACTTGTGGTGTCAATAGTAAATATCATCACCAAGGCAGACAGCCTGCATAGGATTCAAGGTTTGTGTCCCCATTTCAACCCATGCAGCTCCATTCTGCTTTCAGAAGAAGTAAGATATGAGCAAACACTAACCTAGATGACGTCTAAGGTCCTGCCTGCTATTCTGTGATGCTCAAGTCACTTCATCTACTTGAGCTTCAGTTTCCTCATCTATAAAACTGGGATGGACAAACTTACCTCACAGACCTACTGTAAAAACTAGACCAAGTATTGCATTTGGCATAACAAAAACCCATTCTGCCTGCTGCCATCAAACAGTGATCCTATAGACAGAGTAGCACTGCTTCATAGGGCTTCCAAGGCTGTAAATCTTTACAGAAGCAGAAAACCTCATCTCTTTCTTCTGCAGAGTAGCTGCACCCTATAATAACTGACCTCTAGGTTAACAATCCAACACTTATATCCACTGTGCCACTCCTACAAGTGTAAGGGCTGATTCATTCCCCACAGCATGAAGCAGTCACAATTAGTTTGCATCCTCTGGCAGGGCCTACAGGGAAAGCCAAGGGGAAGGGAAGAAGGCTGCATGGTGAAGTCTGGCAAAGCTGGTGGGCTGGGAACCAGATGAAGGCTTAGATGCAGCCTCCTATGCCGTACCCTGGCTCCTGCCGTCCACTTTGCAGCAGGTGATAGCTAGGGAAGCAAGCACAAAAAATATCTTTCCCAGACAAATGCCACCACCTGATTTCTAGAAAGCTGCAGTCACCTCCCCTAATGGCAAACCTGAGACCCCTAGTCCAGTGCTGGGCACACACAATTACCCATTTGGGGACTTTGTCTTAAAGTGAAATTGCAGAAAAGATTGTTAACATTCGCTCTTTCATTCCCTTGTTACTGTCTTCTTCCTCCCTCACACTTAATTCAAAGACTGCCAATTCCACCCAACACACACACACACACATTTCACCCCAAGGAATTTCAAAGATGAATAAACCATAGCCTTGCCTACGGGCTCACACAATCATCTCCACACGAGTTAAATGTATGGAAGAAGGGGAGAGGTATTGTTCTTTCTCTAAATCCCTAGACTGAAAGCTGTCCCCTTTCAGGCTGTCTTTGATGAGGATCACACTAATTTTTTTGAGCTCCTGAAGAAAGAGATCTAGGGGAACAGAATGTGGCTTATTCCAGTCCCTGTCCTTGCCCCTAACGTGAGCCTCTCATCCCTGAGGTAAGGCCAGGTCTGTGGATTCACACAATCCCAAAAGGAACAGGCCTAGGCTACTAGCATGACACAAAATGAGGCCAGTGAAACAGCAAAGTCCCCTGAGTGGGAGGTGGGCATAGAGGCTCTGCAGGGAGAGCTGACTGCTTACAGGACACCATCAGAAACATTCAAGAACTGGCTCTTGCAGGTGGCACTGGAAGACGTGTGCTGGGAAGGGGTACAGACACAGAAGGAGGACAGTGGAAAAGGAATGGGCCATTCATTTAGAAATGTCTACCAGAGAGGCCCCTGTGCCCAGGAAGTCGGAATGAAATTGCTTTCCTCTTCTTCCTTGCCCACCCCTGACACCACCCTACCCCTAACGCCCAAGCTGGCAGTTCCCAGAGGATTGTTTGTCTGGTCCCAGTGCCAGGAACTAAGTCTGGTGTTTCATCCATAGGAAAACTGATGGCAGGGAATGTCGGTTCTCTTCTGAGTCCCTACTTCTGTTCCTGGCCCCACACCCAAACGCCAAGTCCCTGCCACACCTGTGCCCTGACAGTCAGTCACCCCAGTTAACTCACTAACTCCTCCTCCCCTCCCTTACCAGCACTGCCACCACCCTAGCTCAACCCCTCCTTTCTTACCTCTGTCCACTCTGAAGATCTCTTACCAATCTCCCTGACCCTGAAGTCCCCTCTGTTGCCCACCAATCAACACCTGCCGTCCGATGAAACATCCTAACCCACAGTTCTGATCAGAACACTCTCCTACTCAAAGCCTACACATCAGGTTTCCTTTTCAGTCCCTCTCCTTCCCGTATATATACTTTGTGTTCCTCTACATAGGAGAACATACTTGCTGCTCTTCTACACCAACACCAGCTTTCCACAAACTTTTCCTACGGTTATGTGTCATGGAGTCGGTTCCAACTCATAGCGACCCTGTACAGGGTTTCTAAGGCTGTAGATCTTTACGGAAGCAGAAAGCCTCATGTTTCTCCCGCGGAACAGCTGGGAGTTTCAAACTGCTGACCTTGCAGTTCGCAGCCCAATTCATAACCACTGCGCTACCAGAGCTCCTTAACTTTTCCTATAATGGATGGTAAATCTTGCAGACTTTGCTGGTCATACAGAAGGAGCCATGGTGGCACAGTGGGTTAAGCACAGGGCTACTAACTGCAAGTCTGGTGGTTCAGACCCTCCATACACTCTTCAGTGGAAAGATGAAGCTGTTCTGTCCCATAAAGACTGACAGCTTCAGAAATGCTGTGGAGCAGTTCTACTCTATCCTATAGGGTCATGGTGAATTGGGATCAACTCAATGGCAGTGGGTTTTGTCATACAGTCTCAGTTGTTACTACTCAACTCTGCCGGTAGCATAGAAGCAGTATGTCACC